TGTTTCAGGACTACGAAACAGCTTGAATAGTTTCTCTATTTATATGAATATATCACTGGGTATATATTATGTATCTTTCTATCTTGTTTAACTACTGTTAGTTTCTTCCTCAAAAATGTGAAATTTCGCAACTTATTTAAAATTTTTGTGAAATGTTTTTGAACTCAAAATCAGTTAATGACCTGGTCACATTTCTTCTAAAAAATAAATTTGTTCAGAACCAGCCAAATTGTTCCAAAGTTCAGATGTAAAAAAAAATTGTCATGTACATAACACACACAAACATACAGTTCTTACGCATATACTAGTTCAATGTACCTACTAAAAGTTACAGATGCTGAACACGAAAATAAAACATCATGTACTCTTTTAAATCTTAAATGCTTTTAACGTGCATGGATGCTTTTACGGTTTTGTTCAAGTTAAATTTAAAAATACCATGTTAGGGAACTATATCGTGTAACTTCGAAAATTCGAAAACACTTCGTCAATTTTTATTTTTTATGCTCTGCGAATGTAACTTCTGGTTGAAACATAGAACAGCTACTGTGGTATTCTTTGTTTTATATTGTTTACTCATTATATGGTTATACTACAACATATCTAGAATATGTCAGACATGAATCAAGGAATCACTTAGAATCTTGCCATAGGAACAAGACACCGCTCAAAAAAAATCTCTTTGATTTGACAATTGAAATTATCGCACATAGAGGAGGGCGATCCTGGGTACAGAGGTCGATTCCTAAAAATTGTAATATGCTTAATAAGAATATAATTCCAATTTTACCAGTACCACTTGAAATTAAAGTCGAAAAATGTCATATTTTAAGCGAGAAACTAAAATATATCCAAATGAATGTGACATTTAAATTCAACATACACGAATTTGTTAGTTATACGTATATTTAAGATTGACGAAAACCTTTAGTTAACTTTGACGGCCCCTTGGTGGAAAAAGCGTTAGTCATCGAATCTAAAAATGTTTTCCTTTGAAACGCAACTTAGGGATCCCCCTCTCCATCCTAATAATTGCCANGATTAAGCTTTGGTTTCCACGTCATAACCATAAACCTATAATTCGTCCCCAGTTATGACCCTCTGGGACAAATTTGGGCAGTCGCGACAGCTCCTTAGCAATGTTAATGTGATGCTGCTTTTAGTCGAAATTGAGCAATTTTGGTATGAATTTCGCAGCGACCCGTCTCATACCTAACTCATGGTAAAAATCGAATGGCAGAAGCCAGTTGATATGTCTAGGTTCTCAGCAACTTCTCTAACGTGATTCGACGATTGGCCGATACTATTTTCTTCACTTCATCAGTGTTTTCGTCTGTTGTTAACGTGCCTGGGCGTCCGACACACTCTTCGTCGTTCACATCTTCCCGGCTGAAAACATTTTGCACCACCGATAAACGTTGCTTCGGTCCAAGGTAACTTGAATAGTCAAAATCAGCGACGAGCCAAAACACGTACATGCAAAGCAGCTGTCAAAATTTAACTGAACATTCAACATGGCCGAACTTCTTGGTATAAGTAAAAGACATGAGTACCAACATAACGCCAAAAAAAAAATCGAAAATCGAATGTACGTAACCCGCGGAATTTCAAAATTCGCGATACGTATTGAACCGATCTCGTAAGTAGTACAAAGGGTTGCAAGCTTATAACAGGAAAAATTTTCTTTTTACCGGTTGTAAAATTCTATACAAAGACAACGTTATCATTCCCTTCCGTAATTGGGACGGATTAATCTAATTAAACATAATTTCGTAATATTCTAAAAATGGCACCTTTACAAGAATGTTAAGGCATTAAGAAACCCACCATTTTTTAGAAATTAAATAAAAAATTAGAGTTTTTCATTCTTTTTGTTCATCTACCATAAATGTGTTGTAAGTATATGTGTACATAAAAATTATTTTAAAAATTGATAGATCCAAGATTTTTCTAGAAAATCCATGACTGAACTTTAAGCGGAATCCTTATTTTTCGTCTTACTCTGCATCTGTATTTGTTTTAGAACTAACGAATGCAACGTGATATAAAAAATCTTAATATTTACACGTGGATAGTGACAAAATCCGATGACATATCGGAAATTTCGGACCATTAAAATAAGCGGGTTAATTGCAGGTAACGTTAAGTCGTAGTTAATTACGTATCTATCGTAATGTCTAATAACTAACTTAAATTTGTTTACAAATTGGTTAAATCGCGTTGGTTCCCCACATGTCATTGGAAATGGAATGGGGCCATCTATATCTATACTACAGTTAGAACGATAATAAATAGATAACTTACGTATTTGTATCATTTTATTTTTACAGATATCTTGTTATTGTAGCACTGTACACAATAATTGATATATTAATTCAATGGCATCACCGATTATTCTTCCTCTTTAATTGTAATATGTAGAAATCGATAAGATAATAAGGTTTTTACTAAATACAAAACCATTTATTTGGAATTTGTATTCAATATAACGTAAAAAACTACATGAAAAATTCCGCCCATTTGACGCGAACCGTTGTTGTCCATGGGCCTATACGAGGGTGGATTGATAAGTTTCCGGCCTGACCAAGAAAAACAAGGTTTTTAAAAATTTTTTTTTTTTATTTCTCAACATAATCTCCTCCAAGGCTGATACATTTCTCATAGCGGTGTTCCAGTCTATTAATGCCATCTCTATAGACTGATTCGTCAAGCTCCT